AAGCACGTCTAAGCCATTGCCCAATTCCATCTAAATTTGTACAAAGGTAACTTCTGTGAAATGGAAACCAAATCGATGAAACAGATCCTAATAAAGTGGTCACTGATAAAACGGCAAGCATGTGCAGACACTGCTTAATATACATAAGAGAATCCACACAGCAATGCCACATCAGCACAAGCCCACAGGAAACCAGGCTTTGCTTGTTCTGCTGATCACAGAAAAAAAAAAAAAATTATTTTTATAATCACATTAGCTCATCCTTTAGCAGGGAGAAGACTAGGGTAAATGACTCAGTGTTCAAAGGAAAATCAATGATTGTGGAGTATCAAAGGAAAGAGGCTCCAGTCAAGACTCAAACTGCTGTTAACAAGACAATGAGCAGAGAGCTGCGCGTAGTGATATTAATGAGCTAGTGGGGACTATTTGGGGCCCCATCCCAAGCTACAGAAGAAAGCCAAAACTCACATTTCAACTCCTAATGTGATTTATCTTCCTCATGTTGATGCTAGTAACCCCATGACTACGTATTACAAGTCATTTTGAGCAGGGTTTGTTTTAACAGGGCTGATACCAGGGAGGCAGTAGGACAGTTTCTTTCATCAAAAAGTCAGAACGAGATCAGTTTCACTCAACTGTGAAGCCACATCCTAGAGGTGGAGGTTCACACTGCAACAAGGTGGATAGAAGGTTTAGCTCCTGTTGAAAAGGCAGTTCCGCTTATCCCTTGTACCTATGGGAATTCTTCTCCTGCCTCACTTCTGCAAACACTGGTGCCAGTTTGATTCAAGGAATTCAGCGAGCAGAAAGCTAGCACAGTGAAAAATAGCTTTCTTCTGGTTTAACACCTTCAATTGGCTTACCATAGAGCCAGATCTCAGTGAAACTACATCCCAAGCCAAAAGATGAATCAGTGGTAACTCACTACAGGGATCTGCCAGAGTCTGCAGGTTTTGCAAAGAATCTGAAAAAACTGCTCTCAGAGGTGTGAGCTGCCAGATTGATCCCATGAGGATGAGTTATATTAACATTCATCATCATCAACATATTTATTCATTAATTGCCAACTCTTTCATGGCTTATGTAGAGAGGAATTTCACAATTCTGTTTCTTGAAGAGCTGCTTAATACACCCTAGTGGTTCAGATGCAGAAGGCACACTAAATTGACCTCACAGTTCATGGCTGCTGAGAAGGTGACATCCCCCATCTCCAGAAACTCCGTTCCCAGCTCAGCTGGGCACTCCTGACTAGCCTGTGCTGATTTTGGCACTCAACAGGACAACTCCATGAGCCAAATAAACTCAGTAAACCAGTAGATAAACAGGTCCAATGAGTGGCATCAGTACAAAAAGGCTCAGAACACATACCCATGAAGAATAACGCCACTTTTCAGTGGCTCAGCTGCATGTTAAAGCTACATCTTTAGCTGAACAGCCCCAAGGGGTGATATTTGAGAGGAGAATGCTTGTTCTTCCCACCTGTGAAATCAGTAAGCAAAATGAGAAAAGCCCAAAAGCCATCTAATTTCCACTAGAGATAATAAAACTCCATGAGTAAAATTACTTAAAAAAAATTTATGGGTAAAATATGCCATCATCTTCTTGGTTCACTCTCCTTTTGCTTCCATTTCCCCTCAAAAAAGGAAAATGGTATAAATAAATAAGTTAATGCCTCGACCCATTCCCACTTTCCTCTCTGATAACTGGCCTCTGTTTCACCTCTAGACTCACTCCACAGACATCTATCAGTGCCCAGACTTCTCCATTTCCACTCTGGATTAACCAAAGCCATTTAAAGGTTCAACAGAGCCCCAAAACCCCATGTGTTTAAACCCCATCCTCTCTGACCTGACATAATCAACCATGCTTCACTCAAAATCTTTTCCTTTTACCTATTTAAGCCTTCATTCCAAGTCTTCTTTGACAGACTCCTCTCATGCTCTCGGAGAGCTGTATCCTTGGTCTTCTCCTTTTATCCTCCCACGTTATCTGCGAGTTATCTCATCTGAAATACAAATACAGCTAACATCCCTCTGCAGATGATTTACAGATCTGCTCCTTTCCCCAGAGCTATCTCCCTTTATCCAAACTCAAATCATAGCCTTTTTCTCTTCTCTATGTATGACTAGCAGGAAATTAAAGCTCAGCAGAGCTAGAACATGGTTCTTCCTCTTCACCAAAAGGCTTCTTACTGTCTTCTTTGCACGTATCTGTGGATAACATCACCAGTCTACCTGCCACTAAAGCTTGTATGTCAACTGTCAGCTCTGACTGAAACCTCTCTGTAGATCCTAGCACTCAGGGTACATCTAAATTTTAGACTTCTTCTACATGGCATCTCTAACACAAAGTCCTTTGATCCATCCATACAACTAAACCCCTTGTTTAGTTCTTTTGCTTCATAACTAGACTACCCCCAACACCCCTCCCTCCAGCATTAACCAACACAGCTCATAACACAACAGCCATTAACTGCTGTAAATGCCATGATCTGACAAGAGGGTAAAGCTAACTGTAAGCCTCCTATTAATGATCAAATACACTATAGCCATCAAGTGGAAAACACTAATACAATTTAAGTCATTCTGCCAATTCAAATTTGTTCAGAAAAAAAAGTCAAAGGGATAATTTCGTACCAGCAGACATTAAAACCAGATAGGTTGTTGTCAATCCTTCCAGAGGCTGAACAAAAATTCCACAGCGTGGGCAGAAGCTAATGTGAGACCAATGTAAAACCATGGCCATACCTGATCCAGATCAACTTAATCCTGCTGGGAGACTGGACTGTACATAGCCCTGGAATTAGCAACTCTGAAACCACAACCCAAGATTGTTCATGTAGATCATTACTCCGACCACAACACTTCTCTGTTTGAAGCATTCTGCTAGTTCCCTCTTCTGTATTGCATCAAACATTTATTTACTCGTCTTCATTTCCACAGCCTCTACAGAAAGTCACCGCCCCGTTCATTATCTCCCATTTCCTTTCCAGTTCATTCCTCCCCTCTATTGCCTGTTTGTTGAAATTCCAGTCAAAACATTTTTTGTGCTTTATTTCATGCTGCTTTTGAGGCACGGAGGAGACTATAAACATCCTACAGAATTAAGCTGCTCAAGCAGCGCTTAACAAAGAGAACCTGACTTTGCCCAGTGAGCCTGGCCAGACTGGATCCAGTTTGTTTGGTGACATTCAGTCCCAGTACAGCACCCTGTGCCCCAACACCTCCAACAACACCAATCGGTTTCATAAAGTCCTGTCCACACCTCAGTTCCATCCGAAGCTGAGGAAGGTTCCTATTAAAGCAAAAAAAAAGGTGCTTCACTGACACTACTTCAGCATGGCTCATGCCAATAGCCATAGGCATTTTGGAGAGATTATAGAACTTGGGCATTAACACAGCAACATGTTATTTTCAAAGGAAAATGTTACCAGTATAGGTCATTATAATTTTCTTAGGTGCTACATATTTTCAAAATTAATTCAAACAAAGGAAACAAACAGCAAAAAGAATGTTTACCAATACTTTTTTTTTAACCTATATGGTCATGTGAGAGGATATTGCATTTAGCAGAAAAGACTGGCAGTATTCTATTATCATTCTATGATTACGTTTGTTTCAAATTCTCACATGGTATCTTCTTTCTGACTGCATACAAATGTGATTTAAAAAAAACCCACCACAGTTAAATCTCTCCTGAACATCTTAGCACTGGAGGTTCAGGAAATAATCTTACTTCTATTTGTCCATGGAAGTACAGAACTTTCCTAGAAACGGGATCCAGAATATGAAGAAAAAGCAGAGATTTTATTGTTTTGCATTTCAAATGGAAGGCTCCTACACTTATTTATTTCAATACAGAAACCAAAGATATCTACAACCAGGTTGTAGATGCCCCAGCCCTGGAAGTGTTCAAGACCAGGCTTGATGAGGCTTTAAGCAACCTGATCTAGTGGGAGGTGTCCCTGCCCATGGAAGGGGGGTTGGAACTGCATAATCTTTAAGGTCCCTTCCAACCCGAACCATTCTATGATTCTGTATTGTGTTTCTGGAGGGCTCTCAGATCATATAGTGATATGAGTTGCATGGAAATTATGAAGGAGAGAATGGAATAAAAACTGATGGAGTGAGCTTAGTGTAGGTAGAAGAGTGTAATACCACTTACCTACGTTGGGAATTCAGAAGTGAGCAACAGTTTCTGATATAATTGTAATGGCGCAGAATTTAAAGGCGTGCAAGCAAAAGAGCTATAAAATATGATTTATACCACTGCAATTTACCAATGTTTGAAGCTAAGGTAATAAAGACAAATCATGAGGGTCAGGGTCTTTGCCTCTTTATGTTGAGGTTTACTAGACATGTTACATAGCAATATCTGGCCATCAACAACTGTAACTAGAAAAAAAAAATCTCCATTCTCAGATACAGAATAGATTTAGTGTTCTTGGCTTTCACTTTAATGGTAAAATTTTTAATTATCATTCCAACAGAAAACAATTAACAGACTGTGCCTTGATATTCCTCTCAACTCATTAAACCTTTAATTAAGTTCTGATATTTATACCTACTGACAACACATATGGAAAAAAAAAGTTATATAAAGAGTTGAAATGTAAGAAATGTTCTTAATTTTTTTTTACATTTTTTATTCTGATTAGAAATGAAAAGTTTGTTATTTTTGTTTGTTACACATTAAAAGTTAAGCCAAACCAAAAAAGCATGGTTCATAGGATTTCATGTTCTTCCTATAATCTTAGTCAAGAAAAAAGTCAGTTAAGTACTTACCTAAAGTAGTCAACTGACTTTCTGTAATGAAATAATTTCAATTTCCACTGAAAAGCTGTCACTGGAACATGGCAGCAGTCTCACAGCACCCAGTAACACTGTCACACCACAGTTTAGATCAGGAAGGCTTTTCGCTTGTTTGTTTTAAAGCCTGGGGACTCCTAATTCCCGACAGGTGCCATTCCCCACAGAGAAGGCCGGGACCTAATTCCTCACCTTCCAAAAACTGTACCCTAGTCCCTAGGCACTGGTGCTGGGGTCTGCACGCTGCTGTTCCTCCTCCAGCGATGGGCCGGCGCCTCACACGCTCCCGGGCGTTAAATGTGTGGGACGGGGTCCTGCAAAAGGAAAAAGGTATATTTTATTTTTTTCCCCACAAAGGCACAGGTTAATGGTGTCCTAAAGCAGTGGAAGGGCAGCACAGAGCAAGTCCACCTGTTCAGCCAGCTGCCTCTTGGGACTTTTTTGGCACTGAAATGTAAGAAGAGATGAAAATGCACCAGCATTTCTGGTGGTTTTTGTGGGGCTAAGCCCAGAGAGGTCTACTCACTCCCTGGAGAAGGGATAACTCCTGATTCCAGCACTGCTGGAGTAGGAGCAGGAGAGAGCAAGCGCTAAAACCATCCTGAAGCAAAAAATAAAAAATAAATAAATAACAAGACCTCGCATTTGGACCCCCCCCCCCAGAGACTGCTCACCACGTACGGAGGGCAAACCCCACAGCGAACGGGAGGCGCTGGGGGTAATTTTTTCCTCATGTTCCGGCTGTGGCTCCGGAGAGGTCCCTTCACCCTCCATCGGGGACGTCGACGGCGGCACCTGCCCGCCCGCCGCCACCTCAGGGCCGTTGGCGGCGG